CGAGTACGCAGACGACATAGCTCTTCTTGGGTCTGACCTCGTAGTAATACAAACAATATTAAATAGTGGCTAAAAATGATTCTGCCTCACGTTTCGGCATACACTTCACACCTGCAAAGTGTAAAGTGCTACTGCAAGACTGGGTGGGCTCGAACCCTAGCCTCATGCTCGCGGATGAACCGATTGAGGTAGTAGACAAATTTGTTCACCTTGACGGCTGTATCAGTCTCGGTGGTCACGCGAAAGATGATCTTTTCATGCGGATTGGGAAGGCAGAGCAGCTTTCGTGAACCTGCGTTACCTGTGACGTAGGCATGACATCAGCTTCTCTGTCAAGGATCGAGTTTACAATGTTGCGGTGCGCTCCATATTACTATATGGATCAGAAACGCGGCCGCTATGCGCTGATGACGTCAAAGGTCTTTCATTGTTTGACCATCGGTAACTCTGGAGCATTGCCCGGATCAGCAATGCTGAAGTACTTCGAATGGAATTCGGGAGAAATAACTCACCCCCGATAAATGAACTGATCACACTGCATAGGTTGCGCTGGCTTGGCCACTTGCTGCGTATGCCAGTCCACCAACTTCCTCGAGGAGCTCTTTTCGCATGACCACGTGAAGGGTGGAAGATAGCCAGAGGCGGCCAAACGATGACTTGACAATGAAGTATGAAAGCCATTACCAGCAAACTCAGCTGCGCTGGTCATTGCCGTCTTCCTGGATGGGAACCCCGAGACGGGCCGTATGAATGGTTAGAGACATCGTCAGACAGCCCAGTCGCACCCTCAATGGCGCTCATGCATTCAAGCTATTGCCCTTAATGCATAGCTCCCTTCCCAACCCTCCCACTTAACAATCCACCTACAGTGCTGTTTTTACGCACTAATATATCAGCTCCTGTCCCCAATGCGCAGCCACCTACCCCACCTCCCCGAATCATCGGTGAACGAAACTGTGGCAGCTACAACCCCTTGATGATGATGATGGTGATGATGATGATGATGATTGGGATGATGATGATGATGATGATGATGATGATGATGATGATGATGATGATGATGAAAAACTCTGTGCGGATGAGATGTTTACTGTCGTGTTTACTGGCTCGTAACTGCTTAGTTCTTAGCGAAATAGAATCATTTGCAAACCAATTTGGTTCGGTGGGAGAACCACGTGGAACCCAGTTGAATCTTCCTTTGATGGTGAGCCTCAAGAAGGGGGAAACTGATCGTGGGCCGTCGAAGAATTTTGAGCAACCTTGCGAGTAGTGTATTAAGTCTATACGTGCGTAGTTCTTTTTTCTAGTAACTACGCAGCGAAAGGCTTTCCTTTCACCGGTAAGTAACATGTCTAACCGGGAACTAATAACTCTCCCGGAATCATAGGTGCAGCAAGTGCAATCGAAGAGATCGCACACAAAAATACTGCGGAGATAGCTTCAGGAGCTCTCACAAACACTGTCCCAACAAAATACGCATTCAGGGGCTGTGACCCATACATTCAGAATGAACTCACTGAATTGGTGGAAATTCATTCATCATTATCAGCTGTAATAACCGCGTACTGGTCGTACACTGGTTGTAGCTGCCACAGTTTCGTTCACCGATGATTGGGGGGTAAGTAGCTGCGCATTGCACGCGCGAGCTGGTAAATTGGTGCATAAATCCAGCACTTTCAGTGAGTTGTTAAGCGGGGTGGGGGGTGGGGGTGGAAAAGGAGCTATGCATTGAAGGCAATAGCTTGGATGCACGAGCGCCACTGAGGGCGCGACTGGGCCATGTCTGATAATGTCTCTAGCCATTCATTCATAGCCATTCATTATCATTCATTGGCTCACCGGTTACCTTACAGCTTGATACGGATTCTGACTTCACTCTGATTTGAAAACGAATCTGGGACGTAATTGGAAAGTCACCAGTGGAACACACAAATTGCACCGTTCGCACCGTCTCGAATGGACTAGACCTTATCATGGCCTGACGGTTTGTGTACCTCCGCGACCCAATGTGCAATACTGCGGGGTGCGTGTGCAACACTCGCGGAGTCTCTCATACGAGGTTGCTCAATGGTTAGAGGTTTGGGGGTTGGAACGTCTAGCGACTTATCCTCTAAAAGTGGTAATATTCTTGCTTTTCGCACCAAACACAGCTGCCTTGTAGTCACACTTTGGTACCAAAGGCTTTGGTTGAGGACCCTAATCCTCCCATCTAGGTGTGGGCGCCCTGACAGTATCCTAGCCCACGTGAAACCATGAAGTGCACAGTTACAAGTAATTCCATGCCACATCCGCCGTCGCATGGTAACATCAGCAGGGTTGTCCTACTTACAGCATACAGCAGGATGGCTAAGCGAAAACAAGCTGCTGCTGACGCCTTCCTTCTTTCTCTTTCAAATACCTTATCTTCCACTCCCCCACTCCTTGTAGGCCCGCCGGTTAAACTGATGACTGTGTTCGTCCTGCATCAGTCATGCAGTTCATCTGGTAACAACTGTGAAGGAGTCTCAGAAGTGGGAATCTGATCGGTGTCTTTGTTGTGCCTGCTTAGCCTCAACCAACTGTAGCTCTGACACCATGAAAGACCGTTTGTATGACGCTGAATAGCTGAAGTCGTCTGGTCACATAGCGTCCTCCGTGCCTCAGCTCCATCGCATCATCGGTTACCGATGGTGTGGATCAGTGAACGAATATCGCTCATCTTGAATCACATAAGTGGATTCTGACAACGCGCTCATCCGATGTCGTTTCCCACCCGTCTTTCAGGACCGCGCATAGTGCGGACAAATCGTTTAGCAACTGAGGACTGGCAGATCCCGAAGCTAGACGAATTTACCAGAATCTCTTTCTCAAGTTTCATTCAACTGCTCCACCATCAGGCGAGAATTCACGCTAGAACAAGGTCGCCATATCTTTCTAAAGTGCCGGGAATCTTGCTTTTGGCATAGTGCTCTCACGTCTTCTCAAGTACTGGACATCAGACAGAACAGTGGAACTGCTTCTGTTCCTACCTGCTCCAAACATAGTTCAACTAGACGAATTATCAGATGCCAAATCAAACATAGCTTGCGCACTGTCCTGAAGCCTGACGGACATGCAAGTGTAAAGAAGTAGAAGGGGTCCAGAAGGCCGGGGATGCTCGGATTGTACTTTAGTTGTTGCGTGCGGCCGGACCCTGGAAACCTCCTGTGAGCGAAACCACCAAGGATCAAACCGGTGCGACTGTCTTGAGTAAAGAACGAGCACTTCTCGCGGTCACCTACCACCAATTTGGGTCCCACAACTAAAATGCAACCATGGACATAAACTTAGAACCCCTTACGGTCTCAGAGGTATTTGACTGCATATGTTCTCTAGAGCGCGTCCGAATGACCTCCCACCCACATTGTTCAAAGATAGTGTAAAGCACTGAGTTAGCGCTTACCTTGTCTATCTGCTCGCATCTGGGATAACGAGACTGCCTCAGACATTAGGGGGGAATCGGTGATTGTGTTCGCTTCCAGAAACGGGACCAGTAGTGAGTGAGGAAGGTCAGCCCCGCTCCAGTCGTGATGGGAATGTTGGCGTCACTTGTCCTTCTCCCCTTAGGGTGGATCGCCAAACCTTGACTCGAGAGCTAGCGGGATTCCAGCTTGGTTGAGGTTGCGTTGACCTAATCTTCCCACTTCATGAAATGTTAGAATAATTTCATACGTATAAACAACCCACAATTTAAGCATTTTTTTTATTTCCAAGGCGCATTCGTCTCAGTTGACTGGCTTATTTCCCATAACACGCTCGCCCAGCAAGAGATCCCACAGAACCTTGCATTTGTATTTTTAGACTTTCGGGTGTGTAAGAGCATACGGGAAGCTTCCGTGCACAAATTGTTGTCTAATTAAGGTTCCTGTTAAGATTTATTTTCGTGATGGACTATTCCGCTGGACTCGGTGATGTACTGAGCTTAAGTCAGTTTCTCTACCAGACGATTTATTTGTGTAAAGCAACGGCGAGACATGTTTTGCAAGGTTTGGGCTTGGTACCGTTTGCCCCCATGCATAGGCTGTTAATAATTCCAAAGAATTGTTGATAATAAACAAGGACCGTGGTATATTTTAATTTAAACGCCTACCATGGATGTGAAGATATCACCAACCATGTTCTACGAAATAATGGATGCAGTAGTGACTGACCTAAATGGGGTTGTCGCTTACTTGGATGGCATTAGTGTCATCGGTTCTTATCATGATGAACGCGTGTGGCATTACGTACTGTACACAGAATCCATTGGCGTCCTTTTAACGTGGTGGCTCAATCTGAAAGCGAAATGTTTATTTGTGAAAGTCCGGTCTGTGAATTGGAGACGTAGTATGAAACATTCACCAACAAACTCAACCGTTTCACCAACTTCTCGGGCAAACACAGATAGATGAGACGAATTAGCAGTTACTAACCGATCGACATGGTTCACTCATGCAGTCCGTGACGCCCCCACATCTGTAGCTCCGTCTTCAATGCGCTGCTATCTCAATTCCGAATTTGAGAGGAGAATTGGGTAGATATGGACGAACTCGTTTCGCTCATTCTAAAATATCTGTCATCCAGATGTTCCTCCTGTCCTCAACGAACGAACTTAGCAGCCACAACCAGTTTACTTTAGGTTTATATCGTTCAGCTGTAGCACCCTTTCGGTGCCTAGCTGCCATGCCACACGAAGGAGGCACGATGGCTGGGATACTGCCCTGTCGCCCAAGCCTAGACAGGGGAAGTCAAGTGGCGGAGGTCGGGTTCGAACCACGGACGTTCGGGTCAGTAAATCCGCGCTCTAACCACTTGGTCCACCTCGACCCTTTTTAGGTTTATAACTGATTAACTGAATAGACTGACGACACGCCGATTTGAGGATTGTTGTTCTTCGTTTCCGTGACACCTGTATTCATATTTTTTTGCGACACACCAGTCTTTTCATTCGGATTCACTTTTTCTTTTGTCCATTTTGTTGTAGCTATTCTACAGCAGACGTTATGAGTACACGCATATCCACCAAACAGAAGCTTTTGAGTCACCTTGAAAGTACTGACGCCGTCCTACGGTATGTCCTAATCGGTTCTTAAGTATTATGGATCGCCAGTGATATACTTTCTGTGCTGACCAAAAAACAGTCTTCAGTAAACCTGGAATCTTTGGTTGAACTACTCTTGGAAAAGGATCAACAGCTAAAGATGACACTTACAGAAGGTTTGTCGTCCATACTGAACAATGTGTCTTGATTTCATCTTAGTTGAGGCCCAGAACGAATTGCAAAAGAAAATCGATGTCCTTCGTTCTGATTGCATCAAATCAGATAAGCAAATCAATGCATGTCAGCTTCAGTTAAAGAAGGCCGAAGTTCTCCTGGTAATTTCCTTCCAAAGTTATTTGACAACATTCTTGGGTTTCAGAGCACTGCTCTCTACTATTCCCGGCAAAAGTTGGACACAATGGTAAAGGCGGTGAAAAATCCTGTCGATGTTGATGAACTGGTACGATTTTCTCATCGCATTAGCGCTACACATGGTGTGAGTGCTCCGGATAATTGGGTTCAGGGTGACCCCCGGCGCCCATATCCAAATCGAGAGGAAATACGCCGCGGCTATTTGGGTCACTTGGATGATAACGGACATTTTCGACCCTCACTTTGGGACGCTCTGTCAGAGACAGCTGCCGCGGCTGCCACTCTTGCTAGTACCACCACTCCAGCAGTCGGGCTCAGTGGTACACCCTTTGCGGCAACTGGTAACACCCCAAGCGCCTCTACAATCAACCCCCCAGCTCACTCTAGTATACCCATGATCCCGGGCACCTCAATCACTTCTCATGGTACGTGGCTTATTGATTTTTTCTAAATTTTATATCTGGTGAAACTTGATTCAGTAAAAAGTCCTGATAAAAATTGCGTGGAACATGATACACTGCAATGCATCGTACGTTCCATCGTATGTTCGATCTTCCTCGGGCTTACTCCATTAGCTGACGCCTTCGCCAGTCCTTTAATGAATTTTATGTGAGATTAGCTGTCAACTTCATAGAGTTCACTTCCAAAGAACTGTTCACAAATGGCTTAACAAGCCAACAATCAACAAACGAATTGGCAGTATAACACCTGAAAGCAACGCGTTATCAATACTTCAAACGGAAAAGCCATAACATGTCACGTGGTGCCCAGCCAAGTCCCCTGTAGGGCTTAGCGTTCGATTACTGGCCCCTTCGGAGCCTTGAAAGTGGTGTCTGTTTTTGCCCCAATCTTTTTATCCGAACTTTCGCTCAGGTTATGTTCTGAAACGGCTCAAGCGTTTCAGCCCTGACTTTTCTGTGATAAAAAATTAACTTTTCGTTGACCTGTGCTGCATGTCCTATTGCTCTCATAGACAGCGAAGATCTAATAAGTCCTCTTCGTTATTCATGAGGGCTTAACTGCCACATCTGTGGGGAAGGAATGTCCGGGCTTGACAACAAAGGAGAATTAGGAAAGGGATCTATGACAAGAAGTCCCGATTCCCTAAGGACGCATACACCGAACATTATTATAATAAATCCACCTGAGGACCGTCAGCGACCAAAACCGTTATCAGCAGCTTGATTTTCGCACGCCATACACAATTATCCGAGGTTATAGGACCTAAAAGCAACGGCGTACTCCACTCTGAGGTCAGTTGCATGCCATGCTTTGTAGAATAACGCCGGTAATCCCTGCATACATTTTCTGTGACAGACCACTACTCTACGTGTTCGTATTTTCTGTTTCAACAATCCGTCTCTGCATTTTTGTATCTTTTTTCGTCTTGGGAATTTCGGGGCAACCGAACGTCTCACTAGCATCAGGGTTTTAATTCAGGTTTTACGTATCTGTGGTGCATCAGATTGCGGACCACATACAGACGTTTAACCCACACTCGTATCACGGAATGATGCAAGATGTACGCAAAGGGCTTTGAGCAATGGTTAGACGGAGTACAAGTCTCCTCAGAAATGGTACATGAAAAACGCCCCTTTTGGGAGTAAATTGTAGACCACATTTTTTCAGAGTAGCCTAGCCGATGAATCATGACTGATGAAGGATGTCTCCGGGGTCTCCATTATGGAGACCATAGTCCTGGAATCTGATTGACCCTCAGAACTATACCATACCAAGCATGACCGCATAACCTCAAGTTCATCAGAGCCCGGATTGAGGGTGATTCACCATGGCTATGTGATCTTTTTGTTTGATGATGCTGTGTAGACGTCTGTTGCTAATCTGGCCTCTGAAGTTCGAAATGATAAGTGAATCATATGGATTGAGGATGCCTTTACTCTGCTTTTGGTTCAATCTTCTGCCCATAGATGCATTTTGTGACGTCCTAAAACTAAACTGACTTCCCATTTCTCCCAGTCTCCGGCTCCCCGACTATGATTCTTCCGGGAGTGAATATGGTCTCTTCTCCGCTCACACTTTCTCAGTCCAACCCGTCCGGGTGGAGTTCAACCAGCGCGCCTAGTAGTAACGAATTACTAGGTCCTTCCCATTCTGTTCGTCCACCAAATACCTCGTTGGCTTCGATGCTGGAGCCTCACGGGCGTCCCGGACATCCATCTCGCACTGGTGTGACTCCCTTAACTCAGTCACCTGTGGGGGCTGCTCCACCCTCAACCAGGCATGGCACTGCAGGTTTCTCCAAGATGCCAAGTACTGGTCACCGTACAAACCCCTCTCTCTCACCAGGTTCCTCCGCTCAGTCGCAGTCGGCACTACATTTACCCCCTCCCACCTACGGCGATCCCAGCTTTGGGTCTGGCCCCTCTCCCAAGACGTCACTGTCTCAGACGAGGAATAGTAAACGCAAGTGTGATGACGTGGACACCATGTCAACTGACTCTTCGTCAGACTCCTCTAGTGGAGTTGAATGACAACGCATTTGAACAGGTTACCTTGTCTGAAACGTTGCCGTCGCGCACATCCTTTGTTTATGCTCTGACGACGCAATTCAATAATTTTGTTTCTGCTCTGTTGTAAATTTGGGTCATTCGAATTTCTTACATGTCTCTTATGTCCTTGAGATTCTTAATTTTCGATGAACACAACCGTTTTTAAGGAGGATCTGAGGCTATATGGCATCCAATTTGACCCTAGAGACGTTAAACCAGTCGTAGCGTTTTGCCAACCTTTGTTTGATTTAAAGGCCAGATGGCATTCACGACCATTCGGTGTCTTACCACGGTCAGCTGATCTCTATAGAGCTTAGTTTGAACACCCCATGCATATGTATTGGCAATTTTAGAACGAAATCAATAGTAACCTGGGGTGTAATTGCGATACTGTTTGTTATGTAGTTTACGGTCTTTGGTCCTTGGTATTTCAATCATGAACATGAGTTGGTATATATCCCGGGAGATGACTAACACTTACCTCAAGGTTAGTTTTCTACTCAGGGAAGATCCCTATAACTTCAGTTGTGAACACGTGTTACGTGGATCTTCGGGCCATACCAGCAGTTGACGACTGTAATGGCGCACACAGGTCCTTCATACTGCACATAATCAGGAGTTTGAAGAATGACAGAACGCTGGTGGATTTCGAAGGCCTAGGAGATGGAGAAAGCTTGCACTACAGGCGACGGCCACCCCTATTTCAGCTGATTCGATCATCCGGTCAAAAGAAAGCAATTGTCAGCGAAACGATATGTGGAATAGACGGAAAGGTAATTCACTCCCTCGATTGTTGTCCTGAGCAATGGGCTGAGCACTTCAAAGAACAGTTCACGTGGTCTCCTCCAACACAACCGCTGGAAGAACCCAGTGGACATGAATGGAACAGATCAGATCCTTCAAAAATCCAAACCATTATAAATAACCACTCAGTTTGGCACGTGCTTCACACCTGCAAGGTGTAAAGTACTGCTATAAGACTGGATGGGATCAAACCCGAAACCCATGCTGCAGGCGAGCCAATCGGCGTGGTAGATAAGTTTGTTTATCTGTGCGGTTGTGTGTGTTCCGGTAGACTGGCTGGAGGTGAAGTTACTTTTTGAACCTGGGCGCCCGGGGCAGTTTTTGCCAACCTCTGACACATATGGTGCCGCCGTTTACATTGCACCATTGCGATCCATGGTGCTTTATGGATCAGAGAGATGGGCGAGATGACTCAGTAGTTAGGCCGTGAATTTACTGACCGGAAGGTCTGGTTCGTACCCGACCTCTGCCTCTCAACTTCCCCTGTCTAGGCTCAGGCTACCTGACAGTATCCCATCCCTCGTGCTTCTTTCGGGTGGCATGGCAACTAGGCATCGAAAGGTGTTGCAGGTGAACGAATATTTTTTATTATGGATCAGAGGCGTGGTCTCTACGCACAGAGGGCATACGAAGGATGTCAGTGTTTGACCATCGGTGTCTCCGAAACATTGGTCAGGTCTGGTGGGAACAGTGTATTAACTGGAATAGTGCGTGACGGATGCATGTCGTTTTCGATCTGTTTATGCATTGTACTTCCTGAGGAGGACCTCTAGGAAAAAAGTTCTAGGTCACAGGCATTGGTATCCTTCTAGATGGAATATCGTTACCTTCGGAATTCATCAGATGTGTAGAGATATAGTGATTTCTGCTGGATGTTGGGTGCGGTGGCTCTCCAAATTTGCATTCTTTCCTGCCGCAACCGGAGTCACTAAACATATAGTCCCATACCTGATTGGTGTTGATTGTAACTCATCACTTGATTGCGATTCTTCCTTATGTTTTTAATGTTCATGACGTTGGCATTCGTTTTGTTCTATGTCCCGACTCATGGCACGACTCACTGATGGGATTCCCAGTTAGCAATGTGATGATAACTAAGATTGAGAGTTTTTCTCAAATTTTGTCACGTCATCAATTTCACCGTTTGAATCTATTGAGTCGTAGTTGTTTCTGGCCATTGGTGGTCAGCCTCGACGGAGTATCGTACTTTGAAAAGAGGATTGCAAAAGCCCTGAGGTTGTACTCGTCACAGGAGACTTAATTCACAGAAATAGGTACGGACCAGCATTATCGCGCCGAAACAGGAAGACTGTTATAACCAGAATTCTGCAGGTCACACAACCACACAAGAATCAACTAGGAAAACTGACGTAAAAGAGGTAGGAATCGCATAGGGGATACCACAGGTTGGAAGTTCTCCTTTTCGGAACTCCCAAACACAACTGTGTTCATTTTGGCAAGTAGCCCTTGAATGATGAAATTATATAGTCCCTTTGCACACCCCAGCCATGTGGAATCTTCTTTTCTTACTTCCAGTGCTCTGAGAAACGCGAGCTCAAGATAGCTCATTGATTAAGGCCTGAACTTACTGATCAGGTCTGTCATTCGAACCACACCACACCATCTCGACTGCGCCTGCCTAGGCTCGGATAGTTTGGCAGTGTCCCAGCCTTCTTGCTTCTGTGGGGTTGCTTGGCAGCTAGGCACCAAAATGGTGTTGCAGCCGAACGAATATTATCTATTTATTATTTGAAAAAAACACAGCCTTTGAATTCTCCGTTTTACAGTAGGCTATCCGCGTGCGTTATGTTAGGTCTGTCTGAGTGTAATACCAATAACGGCGGCAACAAACTCGACCGCGGAATCCATCGTACGTTATCGGCCACGGTTCTGTATTCCTCTAGTGCACCGACTCATCGCAGTCTCATGATGAAATACTTCATACTGGTGACCGCTCAGCTGTAACACGTTTTCGGTGCCTAGCTGCCATGCCACACGAGGGATGTGATACTACTACGTTGTGCAAGTCTGGACGGGAGCAGTCGAGACACCCGAGTTGGGCTGTTTAGTTCACGCCTTAATCATTGAGCTCTCTCGAGCTTATGTACTACATGGAGCTGATATAAAGGCTAACGACATGCGTACGAACACTTCCGAGGATGATGTAAGGATCGCTGGACTAAATAGTGCATTCTCTCACCTAGTCCGATGGATTTGGGATTAGTTATCAAATCTATCGGCAATTATGACCAGTTTTATGTGATTTCGCATTTTCGTCAATGGTTTTCATTTGAAGCTACTTAGTGGTTTGGTACTCATGTTTGGCCCATGGAATGTGCTCCCTTACGGGCTGTTCGGACGTTGCACACGTTAATAGCAGCACCTTAACGAGCAAGTGACGAGTTGGCATTTGAGTCATTTTCTGAGGTCTACGAGGATAAGCTGTTCGAAATCACTGAACTGGGCACGCCTACCAAAACTCACTAAATTAGTCTGGCTAGACTGCATTGACTCATAGAACCGAAGCTGATTTCTTGGTTTCGAAGCGACTTCAGTCGCGTCAAAGCATAGACCGTATTTCAAACTAGTAAACAACCCAGTTGTTACGTATGACCTGCAAATAACTGCTCTCTTAACAGAGAGGTAGCTTTCATAAGAAGGTTTATTGGATGTAAAGCTCCTTAACATTCAATCGAATTGGACATAATTGGCTGCTAACCAGAAAATTCAGCGTGATTCAACGAATCAAGCGCACTCACTGGAATGTACATGTCCGTTGAGTGTGACTGATGATACCTACCGAGGTCTGAGTTAGCTGTGATGCGGTAGTTCCGTTAACAAAAATTTGCAGTTCAGGCACTGTCCTGGACGATCTATACGAATATGTGAACATCTGCCGCCTGGTTTGAATTTTGGTTGGTGATGCTGATAATGCTTGCTACATGTGCGGGTGATCTTGGTGCCTGTGGATGCCATCACGTTAAACTCATGCTAGGTCCGATTCATCTGCCCTTATCGAGTGTAGTCTCGTCAATGCACACCTACTGAGGTCTTTTGCACTAAGATGCCTAGCTGTGTGAAAATCCAGTTCGAAATTAAGACTCGGGTGGATAGGGTTTTCTGAAGTTATTAGATGACATGCAGGTTATCGCTTGTCACTTTTTATGTTTCTAGTGCCTTTATACGTTGAGTATTTACGGTATCATTGGTTAAGCTTTCTTGCATCGGCGTGTCACAGGGATCCTAGAGTTGAATTGAAATCACTTGCTTAATACCATATGGCAACCACCTGAATCTGTTGCTTCCCAGTGAGAATACTTCACGATGCCCTTGAATGAACGCGTAATCTTACTTTGGATCCTTGATAGCAGTGTAAGCTCTGAATAAGTTTTTGGTCTGAAGGGTTAGGTTAGTGAAGAACACCTAACTGAGTGTTGGAAAGGAATGGAAATCGTGCTTCCAGTTACATCGCACTTCTATGTGGAACTGGTTACCAAAAAAATCGTTCAGCTGTAGCACCCTCTCGGTGCTTAACCGCCATGCCACCAGAAGGAAGCACGAGGGCTGCGATACTGCCATGTTGCCCAAGCCTAGAGAGGGCAGAGTTTGGGTTCGAACCACGGACCTTTCGGTCAGTAAGTTCGCTCACTAACCACTGAGCTATCTCGCTCCCAACTGGTTCCCAGGTTGTTCATGATTTCTCTTTTGCTGGTAAAAGGCTCGCGCCTCATGATGCTTTCTGGTGCCCTTCATAGGTTACTCGAACTGCTTAGTCTGAAGCGTCTTATTCGTGGCGCGTTGATTTTTTATTGAACAGCCTGTGTATTCTTCTATCCTTAACATGAGTTGCATAGGGCAACAGCAGTTATCAGTGAAGGTCATGGGACTCAAGGTCGAGTTTACTTCTGTTACTGAGAAATGTTCCAAACGTAGGTGAAAAAAACTTGCCTCCGGATCCGGTACATTGGCTCCTCAAAGTGGGTGGCTAATTGGGGCTATTCATGCTCATCAAGTATCTGCTCGTAAGCGTTTACTGTTGAATGAAGTTTGGTTTAACACACTGACAGTCACTGGTAGGAGCAATCTTCTCAGGATAGCCACTAGTCTCCCACCTAAAAAGTTGCCAATCGAGGAGCCAGTCAACACTAGATCACTGTGAATTGTGTGTTGAAAATAATGTGGAGCTGTATCCTAGTGCACTTTGATCATACTGCTGATCATCAACTACCAGTAAAGTGGGTTAGCTTTCGACCACTAACCAGGAGGCCGTAAATTTGAATTCCCCCGGAGTAGCGTGCACTGTTGATTCCCAAAATCAGGATGAAACGAAGTTACAGTGTTCTTATCTTCTCGGCGTAGGTGGTCTTTGGAGTTGTGCGGGAATATTGGGATATCGTATCGCTCAGTGGTAGTTGACCAGGTGATTGTGTATCTGTTGATCAACAGCTGACTTCCTGCTTTACTTTTGTCGATCTGGCGAGTGTATTTTTAAAAGACCGAAATTTGGAACCTCGAATGGTTGAAAGCGGTTTGAAGATGAGACATTATTCATCACACTTGATGCAGTATTTAGTCCATCCTATTCGTCCAGATTTCTATTAATTACGCATTAATTACTATTAGCTACACAATAAACCGCATTTGGTTCGACATTGGTGAATTTCCCTAACGGTAACTTTATGAAGCACATGTTTTCGACGAACCACTAGGAGCGTGATTTTTCTCAGTTGTCGCATGCACAATGTCACATGGGTATTGAAGAGAAATCGATCGTACTGTTCACCAGTTATCGGCTTCAGTGTGTTGCACCTTTAAGTTCACATGAGTAAGATCCGACGTCCAGGTAGCTTCTTTGAAGTCTCTAGTGAACGATCCAGTGTACTTCGGGGGAATATTTCTCACTTGCGAAACCAAAGGCAACTACTATGAAGATAAAGCGCTCCGTTTAAATGTTGCGCTTTCTTACAGGCCTCAGATATCCGAGCAAACAAATTTTTTATCCTCCCTATCTATCTCGATTGGATTTCTATAGGAATGTGACCTTGCTAAGCGAAAGTGTTGTAGATCTTCAGCTAGACCCGCCTCAGAAGTCCCGTAGTAACACCAACGTCATAGTTCGTGCCAGTTAATGAACATCAGTCAGTATATCTTTCCGCAGACCGCATGAGCGGGTTCAACAATTTGGACTACAGTTTCCTTGCGCTTGTTTTACCTGCGTGTTTTCATTCATAGAGCGGTGAAGTTTATGAACAGGAATCAAAATAACTACTACAGGATTGGGTGCCCTGGAATGCGTAACATGTTCTACACAGAGTTGCCACATTTCATGAGGATTTGTACATGAAAGTAGAATGCGCGGCGACTGAAAAGTGAGAATTTACATTGTCGATTTCGGATCCCGAATCAGACCAACGTTTGTCTTTACACATTACGTGTGGTGGAACAACACAAAATTAAAATGATTTGATGGTGAAGCGGGAAATCCGAATAACTTATAATTGGTCTACCTATCCTTGCTAGTTTAACTAAGAGACAACACTACAAAAGACAGAAGGGTGCTGATTACTGTACCAGTTAACTCATTTACAGACAAAAGCTCTTTAGTGGGGCAGATCGTTTTAGATCAGGTAACGGAGCATATGATGCCTCTTCTGAACTGAAGTTTCATGTATATCAGCCTTACTTGATACAGCACGGATGAATAGAGAAAAGGATGTATTTTATTGAATACTGTCTGGTAGCACAGGGAACTCTTCAGTTCTATGAAATCTAACGTGATACTACTGATCGGTAGTAACAAAGGTTATGTCCAGCTCACCAAAAACTGTCTCAAAGCCAGCTGTAGAAACAGAGTTCGACTCTTGCTAACTATGTTGGACTGGCATCTCTTTTCGCATTGGTCTCACATCGAACTAAGCCAATCACCCCCGCGCACAGCTAGTTTGCTACATGCAGTTTGCTCTTAGCTCCCTGTATGCGGTGTAAACCCAGAGGAATAAGACCAGAGGTGATTAGAAAGCAGTTCTCCCAACACCATCACAATAAAAGTCATCTGACAACCACCGGAGCCTAACGCAAACGTGGCAGACTTTATTCACCGTAGAAGAATCACTCGCTTCCGCTGCTGGCCAATTAGTCGCATGCGACCAGCGTAAACACAACCGCAGTAGTCGCAGATCCAGCTCGTTTGGTTTTCAGGTTCAACAGCTCTGAGGGAACCTTTGCGTCTTGCATATCTCACCTCTCCGGCTTGGAGTTGTTGACCACTGAATTCATATATCATTCCTGTACATGCCGTCTCGTTTTGTGCTTCCATTTCGTACTTCACGACAGCCTTTAGACTTTCGACCAAGTCATCCACATATCAAAGCTTTTGTCCGCCAAGATTATGTCGAATAATGTGAGCTTCTGGTGAGGCCGACGAATTCTGGAGGACAGCTCTACTTGGGAAGAACTGTCCATAAGGCTTCGCTGTTGATGGAGTTGAAGGCGCTTCGTGAAGTCTATAAAGAGCAGATGGATCGGCTTGCGACATTCGCTGGGCTTTCTTCAAGCTACCATGCAGCGAAGATCAGATCCATTGTGGTGCAACCAGTACGGAACCCATGTCGATCCTCAGTGATTTTGCTCCGAAGTGGAACTTTTGCAGCCAGTGAAAGGACCTCTCATGTGACAGGCGGTTTCTGTCTCCATCTGCAATGTTCAGTCCCCTCACCTGTCTTGCACTAGATGAGTGAATAATCAGGTGACTAATAATCATACCGCGATGTGTCACCCTAAAATGATTTTCGGAAGACTTCGGAAACACTCAGGCATTTGAATGGCACTAGTTGCGGGAGCTAATCTCCCTTTGCGGTTGACAGCTAGATTATATGTTGCGTTTCCTTTGTAAAGTGACACGACTGTCGCATTCTTTTTGTTACACCTATCGAATAGTTGCCAGCTGAAAAATGCACTCTTCAAAATCGAAAAACAGTCCCGCTGCAAGCATTTCTTCTAAAGCTGTCCTGCAGCTCCGTAGGTGCACGTCTTCCCATTTTTTTGCGGCAGTTTATCCAATGCAGTCAACTTTACGCTTGTCAGTTGATCCAGTTTTGCGAAGAGTTTTCACGTCAGAAAAATTTGGTGACCTTTTGCGTCAAATATGTGCTCGTATAGGTGCAGTGTGGCTGACGAAACTGGATGTTAAACTTCGTCCGGGAAGGTAGTCTGTTTCACAGTCGGCTCCTCACATCTTTCGTGTGATGCACACATCTCAAACGTCTTGCTAGTGACCGACAATGTAACCGAGTTGATGACAGTGACCGCAAGTTGATGTGTTCGTCTGGCTGTGTTGCAGTTCGAGATAGAATCTCATGTCGATGATGACGAATACATGGCTAGTGCGAATTCTCAGAAGTCAGCCACCAATGGCACTCACATTCCCAATGCCATGGTATACGAGACTGTCTGATCTCAACTGATGCGTGCATTGAAGTCCACCGGCAGGAGAATCACTGGTTCTCGGAATTGATCGATGAAGAGTGGAAACTGCAATATGGAACTTGTCTTTGTGAGGTATGCACTGATTGCAGTCACATTTTCGACCTCCCATCCAAGATGGAGCAAGGCGTATATTGATTCCAAAGGCTCCCGAATCGAACACTTTCTTGATGCAGTCGGACAGGGCAAAACGGATACCATGATCTCAGCTGTCTCCTATCGGGAAGCAAATCCAGTAGCCGAGCTAGCTTGTCAAAGAATTTCTTGGTGTTTTGCTCAGAGCTCAACGGGTTGGTTTTGGAGTATTTATCCTCCTCCTTCTAGACCGGAAGAACGGTGATATACGCATATTAAATGGCAGACAGTTGTTTGGGCTGAGGCTCATTCCTGAGCTACCCCTGATTCCTGCACGTCCACAGAATGACTACTGCCTCAAGGTCTACCCAAACAAACCGGTAAGCATGGCAGAAAAGCCAGTGCACAAAAGAGGGCGGTCAAACAAGTCGTACGATGGTGCCATCTACCACCAGATTCTTGGAACAAAATGGATTCAAACCTGGTGACAGAAGTCATCGAATTTCCCAATGGAACACTAAGCATAAATAAGTGCCATAGAACAGCTTGTCCTGTTCCCATAAGGAGCACGGTGGGTTGTGTCAGAAGCCCATAATGGAAACAGTGGAGCAATATGCAATTCATACAGCATGCGTACCCATGAACTTAACCCGTCTGAGGTATCCTGTACGAGATCAGTCCCTTTAGGGTTTCCCAGAAGAGGCATTTGAGGAGTGTGTTCGTCTCATGCCTTGATGGTGGACTGGCATCTACTTCCCTATTGACCGACGAACACCCACGCAGAGGGTTTGCGCTGAACAGTATGTGCATCCACCCTATACCTGGTATAGGCTCTGGAGAATGAGACCGGAGGGTGAGAAGGGGGGATTATCCGCGAAACGCAACCCAATCAATCCACATAAACCATTGTGCGGAAAAAGGCGCCTGATATAGGCAGCTTGCTGAGACCAGACGGATAAAGTTAAGTGGACAGAGAGGCTGACGCCGAAAAATAGGGGTTGACATTGGCGAGCTCTTTGGAGCATTGGCCTATGTACACACAAACTACACCAAGTGGTAAATTCAATAGATAGTACAACCATGTGAATCACAATGCACCTGTGATATATGAATTTGAATTTTAAACCGCAACCTGGTAGAGTCGCATTGATCTGAAAAAGTTGCTACGGCCTACAGATATGATTTTCTCCATAATATCTGAAAGCGGTACAGGGATATCGACTAAGCATGGCATAATGGACAGTCATGTTTGGAAAAGAATATTCCTCATTAAAACTTCACGAGGACCTGTATATCAAAACAGGTGGCATTTTGTGGTGTGGTGAATAACTAGGATTCCTTCGTCACGAAAACGTCATACAGCGTTGACACAGCAATGGTGCTAAACCAATGTACGAATGGCCGAGGATGGTCTTAGGATTAGCTGCAGGTTTGTAGTAGATCACGACTAAACCCAGAAACTGGACACCCTGGCTGTAAAGCCATACACTATTCCCCGGCAAGAAGTGCACACCTTAGCAATAATCGCGCTCCGGGATGCGCTTCAATAAGGGACAAAGGTACAATATGGTTCAGCTTTTAAGGTCAAACTACACACTCTAAGTCAACATCCGGTATCACCGCAAACTCAGGGCTCGGTAGGGCTCATTGAGTAATTGAGATAAACGCCTGATTTCTTCTTATATGTAGGTTGATCGACCAAGTCACCAACACGCCTTGCATCGCTATATTACGAAGTAGTTGTCATTCGATATTCCCTTGACTACTACTGCAGCTGCTGTATAACACAATCACTCAGTACTTAACCCCTCCCCCGATAGACCCCATGACAGATGATGGTGAGACCGAATAGGTCACTGTCATTTTCTTTATTGTCCAGTGGGTTTATCGAAAATTCTTTAGTAGTAGAAATAACCAAGTGTAGAGACACTGTTCGCCTCACCACCGAATGGTCCAGTTTAGATTTAGACGCCTCAGAGCTCCGTCGTAGCCAGTTGAGGGTAACATCACATACTGTGACGTGCACCATCAACTGATACGTCAGAGAAATCATTGGCGAGGTTTATCCCCACAGCCTAGTTCAGATCAAACTCACTTTGCGAAATAGTAGCATTAACTCTTCGGAACCTGTGTCGACCACAAATTTTAGCCTCCGTCCAATATTTCCATCCAGGCACGCTTGAAGGTCGTAGTTTAATCCCAAAATCAAGTTTTGGGAGAAAGTAACATCCGTAACCATTTGTTTGACCAGGACTGAGGCAATTAAAGTTCTTCTCACTACTCGGCTAACCAACCAGTCAGGTTTAGCCATGGACAATTGGCTGACCCATTAAATAAACCGGTTTAAAAATTCAGTGAATTCCTACCTTTGCCAAACTCATATGTTGTCATGCGGGTGAAGATGTTCATGCACTATCTTGTCGGTTCAATTCAGTTACTTGTGGATGACATGAACGCTGACAAATCTTAATTCTGTTCAAGGTCGAACTTGACTACTCTACATCACTAAACCACTTTTGAAAAGCCCACTGCGCTTTTGCGTGAAAAACAAATGTGGACGGGAGGTGCAGCGTAAAGAGTGTACCTGGTTTCCTTTCAGCTGATATTCTAAGTATTATTCCTCGCAAGTAGCGTTGTGAGACCCGTCAAAACGCGCTGATGATCGATCCACTGCCGACTTAATCCCGTGAAGCGCAGCTTCCGGATTTCGATCAAACATGAACCCAGTGTTCCGTGCACTGCACTTACCACTCAGTTCCACATCGGACTGATGTGAAACGGAGATCTCAACAATGCGCAATTAAAGACTACCTGTTGATAACCAACCCCTTCTGAAAGGAGATCTAAACAAACTTCGAGTGGAAGTTCGCCTACCCGACGAATCCAAAAAGGAACAAGATTGGTAAGAAGCCATTCGGATGACATTATTCTGTCGCTTTAATCTCACAGCTCCATTGATTTAGGTCACTGAGGATCCGTCTCTGGTTATTGTGTTGTTTCAAAACCCCGAAAATCTTCCAATCAACTTGGTTGTTCTAGCTTTTCCATTATCGTATTTCTACTTCCTACTAATAATACGCGAATGCACACCCAAGCTGACAAGAAAACAGTTTACGCCAACAAACTGTGCTCAGGCACATTGGCCTTAGGTGCTTCACTCAAAACTTGACTGGCCAAAACTTCACCAGCAATGAGAAGCAAAGAAAATAGCTTCTTTCTCTCTCTCTTTGCGGTAACATACTCCGTTCCCCTCTAACTGCAGGGCGCTTAGACTTCAGTACTCATACTATTCATGAATCCTGGTGTAATGAATCAGATGACGCCTTGACTTAGCACACTCCATAACCAAGTATTCAATAACTACTCGCCGTACCTGGGACCTACTATTCATGAGACTAGAGTTGATTGACATCGCCTATCTGATCCAGTGGTTCCCAAATATTCGAGGCTAGATTGGCTCAGTAACCACAGTTTTCAGCTCTTCCACCCCCCAAAAAAGAATCACTCCCGAAATCCCATCTGGAGCCAAGCCCATTACGGTGTAATCATCGCGAAAGATGCTTCCGTAAATGACCTATAGCGTTAGTGAGGTTCAGTGGAGACAGCCTTAAAACTCACAATTTCAATTTCCAGCAGGGAATCACAAAGAGGCGAGGAGGCATACCAGGAACGTGAACTGACAGAGGAGTAAAAGGACCAGTGTTCGTGGGAAGAATCATGAAAAGATGCAGATTTATGCCCTTTTCTGTGTGCATATGGAAAACAAGCACGCTAGGTGTCAAAATATGCAGGTAGGACAACTCGAATTATCATGGGTTGGGTGACTCGGGCTGGAAATAACCCAGCTACTAACGAATGGGTTGCTGGAATTGCACGGATATGTAGAACACATGGGGACACCTCACTGTAACCAACCAGTGACGGGCATACGGTGAATTAAAGAACAGGTTATCACAGAAATCGTAAAAAAAACTGGGGAAAGACGAAATAAGTAGGACAAGTCCAAGCCATAGTTCAATGAAATGACAATGTACATTGAGAAAGCGAGGGGAGACCGTAATCACATCATATATAGAGGATTTTTCGGGACTCCTGATGTCCCACTGGTTTGCGTTGGATTTGCACCGGAAAGGCTCTGGTCGAGACGCAAGTTCATTTCTTGAAAACCGGATGATGTGCTGGGTAGGCTAGATGTTGTAGGAGAATTCGAGAGACTGTCATGAACAGAATGTTGAACCTGACGTCGTTGTGCAGAAGTAGAGGGGCGAACAGCATCAGGTGTATAGTGATCCATGGAAAGACGTAGAGGAGCATGAGGTCCGGATTCTTGTTCCAAAAATGACAAGAGTAGTTCCGTGAATGTCTGAAGAAGAGATATCCAAAAAAGGTGAGTCCAGCAATCGATAAATCTAGAGACGGTGAGAAACTGGTGGTATATACTCTCCACTAAAAAGAAAATTAAATCTCGCGCTTTCTCCGGGCTGCGTGTCAGCTGTGCACCACAACCGAGCGATTTATTGTTAAGTTGCAGGTGGCTGCGGGATTTGTAGAATTCATGCTCACATCACTCTCGTTTGAACAGAAGTCGCCGATGAGAGCCTTACCGGTCGGTAAGCACTGCGACTGTGTTCAGGCGTTCATCACAAGGTACGTGAATGATCCGAACAAATAGGTTGGGTTTTTGGTTTCACGTCGACCAGATATTCAAGGATAGAAAAGCAAAGAAGGGGTTCCAGCTAGGGTCTTACTGTTGGGTGACGAACTAGAAAGTCGGAAACAGACCAACTTCGTGTAAATGATGCAAACTAACGTACATTCTCCTCACGACTAGCCAAAAATGGATACATAGAGGAGGTCTGGTGAGAGAGTTGATATCACCAACTATTCGATGCTTAGACAGAAACTGAGATCAACTAACTGTGAGCCGGAGATCATAATGATAAATCTTTTGGAAATGCCACAGATTGAAAAATGGTGCAGCTGTAGCACTTTTTCGATGCCTAGCTGCCATGCCACACGGGGGTTGGGATACTTCCAGGTTGCCCAGATCTAGACGGGGGAAGTCGAGAGGCAGGGGACGGGTTCGAACCACGGACCTTCCGATCAGTAAATTCGCGCTCTAAACACTTCGTCCATCTCGCCCACAGATTGAATAAAAACAGTTTAGTAGCAAGCGGTACAAACGAAAACCACGTTGGGCTAGTATGTACAAGCTGACGTAGGAAAATCACATCAGTAAAAAACGACCGATTCCAGCATACCAAAATTTGGCCGTCCGGATGAAAAGAAGCTGATAATTTACAAAAGAATGATCACTGGCATGTTCACGCTAATCGCTATGATTCGTGCGTCCGCAGCCTGACTGCATATAAATCCACAGGTATATTGGATATTGGATAACTACCTTGTCTGGATAGGTGGAGGACAGAGTGACATCCTTCGGAGGCCCTGGTGGAAAACTGGATACGGCACTACGCACCCAACCCAGGAGCCTAGGTAAAGCCCCTGACTCCGACCCAACCTGAAAAAGTGACAGAGAGTGCAGTCATGTATGGTTGCACCATAGATATATTGTGTTGGCAAGTAGGTATAAGGGCAAAGTGATTCAGTATCACTTCAGCTACAAATATGTTCCGATTTTGGCTGTGTGACTCTCTGGATCAAAATGACGTTATGGGATTGCAAACAACGAAAACAATTTTGCACCGATCATTGTGCCACCCATGAATTCCAGAAAAAATGGTAGCAAAGGGTACTCTCAACACCCTCAGCCTGTTGTAACTTCCAACTCATGCTTCAGTTAATGACAAAGATGAAAGAAACCTATTAAATCTACTAGGTGACGGAGGGGATTAAATTCTGAAATGATTCGTGACCAAACTAGCCTGGCTGATCTCACTAAAAATTGTTCCAAATGAATGGTGAGTCCTGTCAACACAAATTTTCACGTACCTTAGCATAGTCATCATTACTGAAGTCCAAAAGACTCCCTATAACCCGCAGACCACTTGAACGCTGGGAGCTAGGTAGTTGGAAGAAACTGACCAATAGATTTCGAATTAGCACTCTGAAATATAGAAGGATACATTTGTCACCATATATAGACTGATATTGTTAATACAATGCAAACGAAGCAACAGAGATGCTCAAATCAGTGGGTTTAAAAGAGGATAATCCACGACTCGTAGTATTGCTTTCGTATTGATTAAAGTAAACGAGTTGGACTCGTGACATGAAGGCACGATGCGCCTCTGCCTCCCTACACTTCGAAACGGCATCATACCTAGGTGCGTCAGACTACACGTGCTGCTTAATTTTGGTCTCACCATCACGCATCAAGTTAGAGAAGTTCTATCACGTTTCAAAAGCAAGTTTGGGAGTATGATCTACGACTTTATGAACTCAGAACACACAAATCAGTTCTCGGAGACATTCCCGTATTTTTCGTATTTTCTGAGGAGAAAGTTGTTGTTTACACTACGAACTTCATTTCAGTTAGACGGATTATGACGTGTGCGTGATATGGCTGCAATAATAGACTCCGATTTCCGAGTGACCAGATGTAACCAACGCCGGTTTGCCGTTTAGCTTGCACCAAACCAGTGGTCTGTCTGAATAATAATGCCGACTATCGTGAAAAAGAATATCCTCAACGAAAATGTTCGAAACTCAGGAAGACTTCCGCTAGTTTCTGGTGGCAATCGGTAGAAATGGGACCAGCTGGCGAGATCAAGTCAGCTGAATTGTCACGTGAACGGTGTTGATATACTAGGACTACCTAGATTATTGATCGATTGAACGACGAGCAGGCAAGAAAGCGGGCGTGCACACCGTTGCTTACAGTGAATATCACAGAGTTACTGTGCTTGATTTGGGGATTCAGTTTGAGTTAATGGCTGATTGGATAGATTTTCTGTTTTGATACTGTCCCAGAAGAGCTTCCAATGGAAAATTTATCAACAGGTTACAGAAGCCCACCACCGGCTCCGCTCCGGTGGAGAATTACCAGACAGGTGTCTATCTAAGTGAAATCAGATGGAATATCATAGAGAGACTTAGCCTAGTTCTGTTAGAATACCGAATCGACACTACTTGGCTATAGGAATGAGAACTTATTTTTGTAAGCACACACGAAAGGTAGGCGTGAGCCGTCGAAAACTTCAAACTATATTCCATTATCTGCTGTCCAACAATGCACACTGTCGCCAAATACCTACAAGCCTCCTGGTTTGGGTGGTACCCCTTCAATTTCGTTCCTTGTATGAACTTCCTCTATTTCCATATTGTCTCTTCCTCACTCGCCGTTTTCCGGCGTAGTTCCGTTTGTTTTGAAAAGATTTCACGAACTCCCTGATATCAAGCGTGGCTTTTTATCTGATTCTTTCCCAAACAACAAATACGTGGTACGAAGAACGCCGGCCGCTTGAGCTATCATCAAAATGGGTTCAGGCACCACTGCGCTACTAGTAACTGACCGTGCGCAGCAAAAGTATGATCCTCTTCTTCGGACTGATTTGCTGAAATCCAATTGATATGCCTCAACGTCAAGGCTATTGATCGAATATGGCTCGACGACTAGAATGCTAAACGGACGGACTACATCGTGGCTACTGGCTTGAGAAGCTCCCGACAAATCGCTCAATTCAGTTACGCCCTGATGGCGTCAACCTCTCAGATCGAAGATATTCTGATTTTTCTATTTATCAACGATCTACTCAATGTTTCTGGCTTTATCCAAGCTTCTAGAGATGACGCACCCTTCTATACTTCCAACACCTAGTTTCACAGATCGTCCTTATCTACGATTGGTGATGACAACGTTTACGCAAACAATACAGTGAACCCTGACCTTACAAACATGCATGCTTGGAGCTCGGCTACATTCAACCTCAAACAATCCACTCAGGTTCCTCTCTTCCTCTATCGTTCTTCCACCAACGTCCTACTCTTTACAGATTCCTCAGGCTGTTCGTTACTTGGTCTCATCCTTTTGAACACTCCTGATTGAATCGCGCAGATGAGGACAGTTGCAACCTAGGTTTCAAAAGAACTCGGTTTCCTTTTCCGCTTTTTTCTTAAATATTTCCCAACTTCCCCGGTACACGTTCTAGATCCGCCGTGCCAACACTAGATATCTTCCAGTCCTAGGTGGCATCCGAGTAAAATTATGTTTTTATTATGACACAGAATAGCTGTGCCCCATCGATTCCCGATAACGTCACACCGTCAAGATGCAGCTGTTTACGGCCATGACCACTTTCTTTCATCCCACTCGCACAATCATTCAGCCGACCGACGCACCTATGCTCTTCTAGTCATCCATATCAAATTTCAGGCACCGACCATAACTGCATTCTTCCTCAGAATTGCACACTTTTGAGAAAGAAAGCAGTTATGTTCGGAGTCTGAAATTTGATATGGATGACTGGAAGAGCATAAGTGCGTCGGGACTCCATTAAACTTTCTGTTTTCAACTCCATTAGGGTCTCCAAATACGTTTGCTTGTTCAAACCCCCATGATTCGCCACAATAGTGCTTTATTCATATTCCATTCACTTCCACGTACCTGGGGAATTTTCCTGTTTCACTGGTTGTTTTATGTTTTTAACCAGTACCCGTACAAGGACTCTCGGATTAGGGTTGTGCCTTCCGATAAAAACCACTTCTATGAGTGATAAGCAAAATTATTACGACGGGCTCGAGCAAGACCTAATACATTTTGACAAGGTGCTTGGGTTTGGATTAGGCCATTCTTTAGCGATTTGAGAGCCACAACTGGAAGAAACACACCTCATGAAAAAAACTACGGGACAACAACTGTCTTGTTCAAGCTGCCAGCTGACGGAGAGGAACAAGTTTAGTCCTATAGATGATGGGTAGAGGATCTAACGGGTATTGGAGGGGAATAATATGCATGAAAAAGTGTCAAGCGAATGCTACGAAAACTCTAGCCAATTTGTATTAAAAAATTGGCTTTGACATACCAAGGATGACAGTCTGGAAGATGTCCTGAATCATGATTCTTCATTCCCAGTTCACAACAACAACCAATCCACTTTTGAGGGCATAGTTTTCCGCACACTCTATGTGATAATATGACCCACGAATTCTAACCCAGTTTGGAAACGGAACTGAAGGCTTGTCAGGCTGATGACTTCATGACGTAAAATAAGATCTTGTTCTAAACGAGGTGGGGAAAGTTATTTGCGGGGCTCTCTTGCTGCCTCGTACTCAAAACACAAAAAGGTAACAAGGATGTGGATGTCAGAGCTCCAGATTCTTACCCATTCCACAGACCCGTAAAGCACATGATATCGACAGACGACGTTAATGTTGGTTTAGTGGCTCAGGACTGCAAAAGCAATCTGTATTCGTTTCGTTCGTTCACACGCAACTAATCACAGAAGACTGAATTTTTCAAGATGAATTTCACAGCAGTCTCCTCAAACGCAGGAAAATCGGTTATCTGTATAATGGCCACTGAGATTACACACTGAATACATTCAAGAACGTTAAAACCTAACCCAGGTGACCTGGATTTTGTCACCAGCCACCGAACAAGCGAGCATGAACGATGAATCAACACTTGCACGAAACACTTTAGAGTACAGCTAATAAAAATACGCGGAATTCCAGCTTCTGACTTTAAGTGTGAGTTGTAGTAAATCACATTTGGCGTAGCACTACATATGTTTATCAGCACCGTAGGGAACGTGGTTGAGCATATACTGAATAACTCACTTATCAATCTTGGAATCTGTGTCCACAGCCATCTGAGCCAGCCTGGTTCGCAAAGCGTCGATCTGACTATCTCTTTGTTCAACTGAGAAAAAAACATATCAATTAGAAACTGAATAGGCTATCTACATGGGGTTGGCAGTTTGAAATCCACAGGTTAGTGAATATGTTGCAAAAAATGGTACGGTACAGAAGCGAGATCGGAGATTATAGAGCAGGTAATGGCTGTGCTGGCATCACAGGTTATGAAAACGGGAAGTCAACATCCGTTGCTTGGATGTAATTTGGTCTACGTGAAGAAAACAAACAGAAGTGTAACCCCCCATTTACTACGACAGTTTTCCCCATTGCCGTAGGTAATGAATTAAAGATGGTGTGGGCCATTGCTGGTCAGCTGCTGCGTTTAGTGGCAGAATACATGTAAACTACAAAGACCATGAGATGATGACAAGAAAACACTGCTCCAAGAGGGGAAACGAAACAATTTAGTTGTGGCATCTTTCCGACGAACACTTGTTACACATTCCATCATCATCGCCGTCGACAGCGCGAAGTCAAAGTTCAACACTGATGCTTTGCTGTCTTACAACCACGATTTATTTGAAAGGCATACTGTGAAGAGAAGGGAAGGGACTTAGTGCTAGTTTACTACAACCATTCCGAGCTGCCTACACCTCTGGACACTCATTCAGGCAGTCTAAATAGAAAATGACAAGAATGTCAGTGACATAGGTTGGTAGCCATATGTTGCAGCGTCTCCGACCAGGCGCGATGGTGATCACGCGGTCTCCATTCTGGAAGGCGAGTAGCATCGACAGCACTCAAACGTCTCGTAATCTCTTAAATACCCCTCTGCCAGGTCAAAGGTTGGCCACCTTTCTGTTTCCGCCACTTTGAAGGGGGCACGGAAAACCGTACCCTCTTCTGCAAAGGATAGTTAGGTGTATGCTGTACATGGCCTGACCAAGGCAGCTTCTTATGCTGGACACATTCGTCAATGGAAGTCTCCTAAGCACAACTACTCATTTACTTTCTGATTACCTCGTTACGGATTCAACGATATCAACAAACACACCAGTTATGGTTCTGAGACGATTGCCGAATACTTGAAGACATCTCATTTCCGCTGATCAAGTAGACCAGGCCTTACACCTATACAGCAAAACAGCCTTTACAGTGGTCAGAAACACATGACTTTTGAAATGCAGCAACATACCGCTTTGACGTCGTACGTGCCTCAAATAAGTAAGTGCTACCTGAACCTTGCACATTAGTGTGTTGACGTCATCTGTCACACTACAACCGAAACTAATACGATTTCCAAGATACGTAAAATGCACAACAACTTCGATGGCCTCCCCGTGGATTGCAGGTGAGGTGTTCAGTGGCAGCATGTACACGAGCATGACTTTACAGTTTGTGGGTGCAAGGTGAATACCAAAGGATGGAATGACCTCGGTCAGTTCTTTCAGAAAACACCTGAGACTTCTACTCTTCAAAGACGAGAACGATATCGTCTGCATATTCCAGAGGCCATTTGAACAATGGGGTTTCAAACACCTCTCAGCGTTTATCACATTATCTCATCGATAACGAAATTAAACAGCAATGGAGAGAGTGGGCACCCCTGAAGGACACCGCTTTGTGTATGGAAGCTTTTGAAGAGCTGCCGTATACTCTCACACGTGCGGAAGCTTGAGGATACATAAAACGTACTATGTTCACAAACTTTCGGGGCGTTCCTGGATGGACAAGCGTGTCAACGATAACAGACCGGTCAATCGAGTCGAACGCGCCTTAGAAATTCAGGAATACTAGAATTGTGGGTCGTCTGTACGTGTGACATTGTTCTAGCACCTGACGGAGTGTGAAAATTTGGTCAACGCAACCTCTACCAGGCCAGACTCCCGCTTTTCGCCCTCTAGCCAGTGTTCTACGAGCCAACATAAGATGATGAAGTGCAAGTGACGCCAACATTCTCGTTACGGTAGCGATTAAGCTGATCCCTTTTTTACATCGGGTCTACCACTGATTCTTCCCAGTTATGTCAGGCAGACTCCTTTTCACGGATGCAGGCAAACAGACAAGACAAGCGCTGACTGAGAACTTCACCCCAATCTTTGAACAATGAGGGTGGGAGGTCATCCAGACTAGGAGCTCGGTAGCGTTTGAGAGAACACTTGCAGCCATAAACCTGAGGCCGTAGGGGGCTATACTTCCACCGTTCAAGATTTTACGTAAGCTGTAGGCTCCAGATGAGTGGCAGCTGGTGGCCACAACAACTCCTGTTCGAAGCATTCGGCCCAACAGTCGGGGGATTCTTCTTTATTCTAAATGTCATGAATGAGTTTACACCACTGGTCATCAACCAGCATATGAACGATCGAGCTATCTCAAATCGGTCGGGCAAACAAGTTGAGTAGCACGTAATTAGGGCTGCCAAAAATGGCTTAAATATCTGCGAACTTGTTCCGAAAACATACTAGTCTGATGTGACTGTTCGCATCATGTTTTTGCGTGACTAAATAGACATCCTTTGGGACTGTTGAGGCTAAAAAGCTGCCAAAAAGTTGTATAGTGGAATAATACCCATAATGCACATTATTGTAAGATCATAATAAACTTCCGTATGAGTAACCAGTCCCATAAAAGCTACTAAACACCTTTGGGTCTGAGCAAAATAAAGCTTAGCGAAATAGGCTCATTTGCATACCAGTTTACTTTTGACAGGAACCTCTCATTTATGTTGTTAAGCTAATTTTGTGCAGTTTGGGTTCAAGTAGAACTGCGCCTACCTGATGAGCTCCAAGAAAGACGAAACCGGTCGTGGGCTGTCGAAGAATTTTCAGCAATCTGATAAGTAGTGTATTCAGTCTATATAAGATAAAGCTTTTTTTGAGTGTCCTATGGACAATGAAAAATGATGAAACAGATTAACTTGCAGGCGATAGCCATTTTATGTAAAATATCAATAACACAAGTTCTAACTGCGCTAAGGGAAGTAGTTGAAAGTGTTCGTAAGACAGTGCTTCTCCGCCAATGAAAATATCCCTTAGGATAACAATGGCGTGTACTCCTTGATGTACGAAGGGGGAGATGTAAAAGGGTATTGTAAGTGGGCCGGAAGGTAGCTATATGGCATTATTGGGGGTTACTAGCAAGCGATTATTGTCCACGCCACAAGGGCCATAAAATGAACTAACTGACCCATTCACAAGTAGTCAGGATGCACTGACGATCGTTCGGTTAATACTGCTAAACAGTTTAGTAAAAATGCCATAGAAGTTCCAGAAGTTTTCTTGAGGAACAGTATCGTCTATATAAAGAAACTTTCGGAAGGGACTGACTTTGTTCCCTCAACTGTGCCAACTGTTGTGCGTGATGCTGAATTTGCAAGTCCAGATGGTGTGCACGTTGCTCTAGCACGATGTGATCATTCAGTTGTCCGTTCAGGCGATTCACTTCAGCACAGGCGGCCTCCTCCCTATGGCGGGCACGTTGTAGTTCCATCCGTATGTGTTCCGTTTCACACTGTATGGTGGACTGTTGGCCTAAAGTTGGATGAATAAGGTTATTTATAATTGAAGGCTAAACGAAACAGATACGATACGAACAAGAATTGCAGCATTTGAGATGGTTGAATCAGATGGATCGTGCTAAATAGGTTAGATTCCAAATCTCCTCTCTGCACAGGAGGAGCGAGCACTCAAAAAATTCTTTCATCCCTTAATCCTCCATATACACTACAAATGTAAATATATAAAAACGGTTGCAAGCATATAGCGAGGTGAACTGTGTGTAAAATTATCATAAGCGTCATCAGCTGTAAGAACCGCGTACTTGTCGTACAGTGGTTGTGGCTGCCACAGTTTCATCCACCGATGATTTAAGGAGGGG